GAAGGCCTATTGATCTTCATGACTCATTCATTACCACAATCCATCTTTAGAGAAGTCCTGTGTGACCCTCAAAGTTAAATTCCCATTCTACAAGTCATCATGCTTCTCCTTCAAACAAATTATCACTGAGATAGTAGGTGATAAATAATATTGTTTTTTCTATCCACTCACACACCAATAGTTTAAGTGTCCTCTTTCCTTCACCCCCAGACCTTATGCTTGTTATTTCATTTGGCTCCAGGGACAGAGACTGAGCTTTCGCTAACAACTTGACCTTCAATTTCAAAAAGTCCTGGGGCCAGTGTGTTATAGACCCTCTTCTGGTGGATATGAAAGAAGCCAGCTTGAGGGAATGCTACAGACACCCTCCTGCTTGCCATCAAAGGTGCCAGCTGGGTCTAAGCAAAGCCATTCTGACTTTGGAAGCTGATTCCCCACCTGCCATAGCTGTATACCTAAGTCAAGATAGTTGTGTGCCTCCTGAAAATGCCCTTAAGTTATGATCTTCTGGGGCTTGTATTCTAAAACGATCCTCCCTTGCAGTTGAGATTTGTTAGTCCCTAGGGCCTAAGTTAACAGTATGCACCCGAAAATTGCACTGAAACTGCATGGTTACTGCCTTGCTAAATTTAGGGTATAAAAGTAGGGGAACACAGAAGATGAGGCTTGACTCTTTTTTTTTTTTTTTTTTTTTTTTGACAGGCAGAGTGGACAGTGAGAGAGAGAGACAGAGAGAAAGGTCTTCCTTTGCCATTGGTTCACCCTCCAATGGCCGCTATGGCTGGCAAGCTGCGGCCAGCGCACGGTGCTGATCCGAAGCCAGGAGCCTGGTGCTTCTCCTGGTCTCCCATGGGGTGCAGGACCCAAGGACTTGGGCCATCCTCCACTGCACTCCCGGGCCACAGCAGAGAGCTGGCCTGGAAGAGGGGCAACCGGGACAGAATCCGGCGCCCCGACCGGGACTAGAACCCGGGGTGCCGGCGCCGCAGGCAGAGGATTAGCCTATTGAGCTGCGGCGCTGGCCGAGGCTTGGCTCTTGAGACACAAACCTAGTCAAGCCTGCAAGTGTAAATAAACTGTGTGCCTTCCCTCCTGCAGCCTCAAGTGCCATTTGCTTTCTTTGGTCATTGTCCACAACAAGTGTTGTGGCAAAACAGGTAAATCTGACACCTGGGAAGCCAGCTCTGTTGTGTGTCCCAGCTGCTCCACTTCCGATCCAACTGACTGCTAATTTTCTGGGACAAGCAGTGGAAGATGGCCCATGTGTTTGAGCCCCTGCCACTGCTGAGCAGCCACTGGATGAAGCTGCTGGCTTCAGCCTGGCCCAGTGTTGGCCACTGCAGCCCTCAGGTGAGTGAAAAGAGCATAAGGAAGAATTCTCTCTCTCCCCCTGCCCTTCTCTCTCTCAGTAACACTACATTTCAAATTAAAACTCTAAGAAGCAAAGAAATAGAGGGAGGAGGTAGGGAGGGAAAAAGAGAGAGAGAAGGAAAGAATGAAAGAAGAAAGGAAGCAAGGAAAGAAAGATATAGTACTTATTCTTATCTTCATTTCAATCTATACTCCCAATCCTGTTCTTGCTGACTGGAAACTACAATGTGCAGAATGTCTAGTCACATCTGCTGAAGCATCCTGCAGTGAAGATTAGTTTGATTCAGAAGTCAATCAATTTATTTTGATATGCAAAATAGAAAAATAAAAATAAATTGTCCATGAGCACACACTTAAAAATATTACAGAGCTACAGATAGCAAGGACATACAGTTTCACATTGATGTATTATATTAGTACTTTCCAATCACTAAGCACAAGTGAAATCCAGAAAGTTAAAACACTTCTAGAGATACCTGCATTCCCTATCAGAGTGCCCAGCCTGAGTCCCAACCATCCTGCTTCTGATCCAGTTTCCTGCTAAAATATACTCTAGGAAACACTAGTTCAAGTACTTTCATCCCTACCACACATGTGCGAGACCCATAGAAGTTCTGACTTCACCCTGGCCCAGCCACGGCTATTACAGGCATTTGGAGAGTAATCCAGTGGATGCAATAGCTCTGTCTCATGATCTCCCTGTGTAGAGGGGTGTATGTGTATGTGTACGTGTACGCACGAGCACATGTGTGTATGTGTGCACATACATACTCTTCAAATAAAATAGCTTAATGATTATTCCTCAAAATTGATTCTAGAATGTTTAAAGGAAATTGCATGGGAAATACATAATACATAATTCTATCATGTTTAATTTAAACAAAAAATGAGATCCCAAATAAGTTGATGAATGAATGAGAGACAAACATAGCACAAAATGCTTGGCTCTAATCAAGTGTCTGCTTGTCATATAAGAATCAAAGCCATTTTTCCCAAAGTCAGCCTAGGCACAGGGAGCTGAAACCATACCTTCTTGTCCATGTTATCACAACACTGTGCCATCTCATTGTCTTTACTAGTGTGGCTTTGCTTTTCTAGGAATGTCTTGCTCAGGTAAGTGGTTAGATTACTTATTAAAAGAACTTCCGAAGAGACTCATTGGCTTTTCAAGGGAATGCATCAGCAGATGAGATTTGCTCCCTCAGATTTGTGAATCCTTTGCCTCAAAAAGCTCACCTTGCTGCCTTCCCCAATTATGAGCTGTTGTGTGATGATCCTTACCTAATCCTAATAAGGCCATTTTGGTCTCGTGGCCTCCATGACCCTCTGCATTGGAAAACCCACCCTCAGTCAAATTCCCAAGTCTTCCCACAACTTTCCCATTCTCACACAGCATAAAAGGTCATCAAGCAGTGTACCTCATACCCCGTGAGGAGGAATAGGGATTTTTTTTTCTTATGTACAGGTGTGTGTTGGTGGCATTCAGAAGTATAATTTGGGGAGCCAACTTTTATCACACAAATGTCACAAAAGGACTGAAACAATTAATAGGTGAGGACTCACATTGTGGTTAAATTTGGGCAGCCTAGAACCAATTGAACCACTCTTACCACAAAAGACATATTTTACAGGGGCCGATGCCATGGCTCACTTGGTTAATCCTCTGCCTGCAGCACCAGCATCCCATAATGAGCGCTGGGTTCTAGTCCTGGTAGCTCCTCTTCCAGTCCAGCTCTCAGCTGTGGCCTGGGAGGGCAGTGGAGGATGGTCCAAGCACTTGGGCCCCTGCACCCTCATGGGAGACCAGGTAGAAGCACCTGGCTCCTGGTTTCGGATCAGCACAGCACGCCAGCTGTAGCAGCCATTTGGGGAGTGAACCAATGGAAGGAGGACCTTTCTCTCTGTCTCTCTCTCTCTCTCTCTCTCTCACTGTCTATAACTCTACCTGTCAAATAAATAAAAAAGACATATTTTACAAAGTTTATTTTAGACAAGACTTTTGAAAACACCTTTCCCCATATTATCTAAGGGAACAACAGTATTCAGACTGTGACACCCAAAAACATGGCACATTGTTATTTCAGAAAACAACAGAAGCATGAAGGTCTCTCTGACCTTCTTCCTGATTTCTGCAGCAACAGAGGCATTAGCAAATTCCTTCTTCTTCCTCTCAAGCAGGGGACAGTATCTGTCTCCAAGGTGTTTTCCTGGTGGCCAGAGGAAAGAGTTCAAAGAGACAGAAAGAGAAAGAAGAATTTGATCATGCAGGCCTAGATAAACTTCCCCCAGTCTAAGAGCATTAGATCATACTCCTTTCAAACAGTCATACTGCACCATAACTCTCCACTTCATCAAACCCAAGGATGAAAATACACAGATTTTCCTGTTTCTTTGGGTCTTTCTTTCTGAAGGATACCCTGCCAGGTTAAATTTTCATATCAAAAATTTGGAAGCTTTTCTCTTGGTAATCTCTCTAAGTCATGAGGCATCAGTCACGAACCTTATTGTTACAGGGAAATTGGTGGAGATGGGTTCATGCTGGCATCCTGGAGTTGATAAAAATTTATGAGACCAGTTGCTACATGAGAAGAGAAGATGTGATGTTCGATTTGAGCAGGAAACAAAAAACCTGCCAGTAAACGGAGGGGCTGGTGAAAATGAGTCCGAGCTGCTGAAGTCTCATAGCCTAGGGGTATTTGTGTCTTTAACATACTGTCTCCAAAGAGCAAATGTAGTGGTTATGCATTAGCTATTGTGAAAGCAGGGAGGATTTTAATGAAAATTTATCTCACTTTGTTTTTGTCAAAACCTAAATCTTCTTGTCCGTTGGCAAAGACTGTCACAACCAAACTTTCACCCTGTTTTGTTCAGGGTATACGTGTTGGCAAGACACCGCAGTTTGTATGTGCTGATGAAGAGCTATGGGATAGAGTTTGTTTGGCCTGCTTCTAATCCCAGGCTCCCTCATTGTGGTGGCTGAGGGAAAGCTAGTTTTCTCCTCTAGTAAGGAAAAAATTTCTCCTAGTGTTAAGATTTGCAAAACTGCAAAAGGCTCATCTCATCTATGTGAACAATATGAGGTCAAATTTACAATGGGACATGTACATAAATGGCTGTAGACTCCTTTCATTCTTATTGCACTATAAAACATTTAAATGAAGCATGGAACCAAATTACTTGAGTGCAAGTATAATTTAAATGTTCTATCACCTTCTCAAGTTCTTCATCTGTACCTTCTTTGTTACTAAAGCTAGCAAAAGAAGATTAAGAAACTCTGTTCTCTTAAGTGGTTATAATATTAAATATCTTCTGCCTACTTTAGATCACAGAAAAATAAAATAAATGTAGGTGATATAAAAAAATGAAAAAAGTGTTACTGGAAAGGAGAAGTGAGCTATAGCCTAAGTTATAATTGGCATTAAATTAACTAATTTTTAGGGATTCATAATTTATCACTGAAAATTTAAGTAGCGAACATCACAGAAGAGATCAAAGAGTTACCATTTTGTTGGACTCATTCATTCCTTCTTTTGAAAGGAAGAGTGATATAGAGAGAAGAGACAATCACTTCTCGGCCTTTCGGCTAAGTGCCGCTCCCTTGCCTGCAAAGGAACGACACTGTTCGCAGCTTATCGGTCTTCAGTAGACTTTCAATGAGAAAATAACAGTGACAGAGAAAGAATGAAGGGAGGAGAGTGGGCAGAAAAGCCCCCTCCTTCCTCAGCACACAGCTTATATACAAAATCTGGCCAATTGCAAGCAGGCTCAAGTCCATACACGGAACACTCCAATCCGCTGTCTGTTCACGCAGTGTGCACGCGTCCTCGGGCCAATCAGATGAGGTGTCACGCAGCAGGCAGGCTCACCGCACGGTCCTCGGCGCCATCTTGTTGTTTACAACATTCTCAACTCCTCTGGAAAGTCCCGACCATGGGAAAGCATTGCCCTAACCGAAACTAGCAACATCCGCCATGTGATAAAGACACAGCAACAGCTATCAGACCGACCTTGACGTGGGGGCTCCATGGCTGTGCATCCCATGGAGCCCCACATCTCCCCCTTCTTTATTATTTAAATGGCATGGAAATGTGCCTGTCTTAGGTACCCAATGGCGCGCTACCTGCTTACCCGTCATGGAGGTAATAGGAAGCCTGTCCTACCCTCTGTCTTAGGTTGCTAGGAGCGCCCATCAGTGTTTACCCGTCTTTGACTACCGCTCCATCATGCTAAGCCATACTTTTTTATTGGGGTGAGATCGCAAGGTGGCCAGCATAGCCTGTTGGATTATCAAGTTGGTATTCTGCTGACGGAGTGCTAAGGCTCTGATCCATCTGGCGATGAAGGCAAGGCCCAGTAGTACCACGACAAACAAGCAACCGATAGCGACCCATTCTTTAACTTGAGCCCTGTCTTAGGTAGGTACAGGATGTGGAGTGTCTTACCCATTTTTGAGTACCATTTTAGCCCAACATTAGGTGAGAGATGAAACATACAGCCAAATATTAATTATTTTTGATTACAAAGGAGGTTTGGTACGAAGTTTTAAGTGATGAATGTCTGTCCATACAGACTGTAGCGAAGTTAGCACAAATTGCAGAACACACGGAAAACATCCCATACAAAGTATGAAAAGCAGTAGCAATCCAGCCCGCATTAATAACCAACGAATCCATTGAAACCCTTCAAATGTTAGTGGGTTAGTAAAAAACATATGTTGCATTTTACTCTTAAGTTTATCAATAACAGACTCTATATATGGCATTGTTAGTAATATTAAAACAACATTCCCCTGGTACAGATTTACAGCTTATATGATCTTTTAACAGCAAATAATCGATAGCTGCTCGGTTTAGGAGTACTCCTGAACGAACTTGATCCAATTCTTCAGCTATAGTGGATAGCGCAGTAGCAGTAAGATTGATTGTTTTGGCCACCAAACGTGTAAGCCTTCACAGTCCACGATTATTTCCATAAGCCAATCCAGGAACTCCCACTAGCTGTATAGCCATGGTGAAAGCAGGTCTCCAATTAAGATGACATCATCATCACAGTTCTAAGGTAATGAGCGTCGCTGTCATGCCTTTGGAAATACAGATGTTAGCATCGGGGCCACACGGCCCAATGAGCAGTTGCAAAAATCATTAGGGGCTAACAATGCAAAAGCAAATTGGTTGCATAAAAATACCCATCCCTTAAGAGCCCATGTCCCATACCAGTACTGGATCAGGTCCATTCCATTGATTGGTGATAGGATCCTTCCATTGTACCATTGTTCTTACCCCAGCTGTTTGTGGATGCCACTGTTGATCAGCTGCAAAACGTCCATCTTTATCCAATGTGAGAAAATTTAAAATGAATAAAGCACATGAGAGCCATTTGTTAGGAGAATGGGCAAGAACCCTAAACTCCCCCTTTTGTTTATATTATTAAATATTGTTTTAAAGTGTTATGTGTACGTATAAGAATGTCTTGACCCTGAGGATTATAAGGAATGTCAGTCAGTAACATGAGATAGAAAGTTACACAAAAATTTCTAAAAGAGGCAGAAGTATAAGCAGGTCCATTGTCTGTTTTAATCTGCTTTGGAGTTCCTAGGGAAGCAAAAGCTTGTAAGCAACGGGCAATAACATGCCTTGTAGCTTCACCTGTATGTAAGGAAGTAAAAATAAATCCAGAACAAGTATCAGTAGACACATGTATATATTTTTGTTTACCAAATTTCATGAAGTGGGTGATATCCATTTGCCATAGTTGATTGGGGGAATAAATCACGAGGATTAATTCGAAAGTGAGGTACTGGTAACTGGATGGAGCAAGTAGAACAGAATTTTACAATTTGTCGAGCTTGTTCTTGAGTAATATTATGTATTAAGCATAATGTATGAGCATTTAAATGATGTAAAACATGATCTTTTGTTGCTGTATCAATAGAACATATGCATAGAGCAGAATTTGCCAAATGATTGCCCTCTTACCAATGGTCCAGGAAGATTGGAATGTGCTCGAATATGACCTATAAAGAAAGGGCAGGTATGCTGTCGAATGACAGTGCAAATGCGAGAAAACAAAGGAGAAGCAGCTGAGGATTCAGGAAGGAATGAACAAGTGTCCAGTTGAGGCACCAATAGGAACACATATTTGCTATCGGTGTGTATGTTAACTGCTACATCCAAAGTAGACTGCAATGCAAGTGCAACAGCAGCTAATTCAACTAGCTGTAGAGATGAAAAAGAGGTGTTAGTAACAGTATGGTGACCATCACAAATTACAGAAGCTTGACCTCCTTTTAGGATATTGAATAAAGGTTTAAGGTCTCCTGTTGTGAGGTGGAGATGTGCAGAAAGCCAATTAATATTCCCTAGAAGTTTTTGAAACTTATTTAAAGTCTGTAAAGAATCCAAATGTAAGGTGACTTTTTGTGGAAGTATTTTTCATGGGTACAATTGGAAGCCTAGATATTGATAAGGATATTGAAGTTGCATTTTCTCAGGGGCTATGATAAGACCAAAAGCAGATAATTGTTCTTTTATTACTGTCAGACATTGTATTACCAAAAATTTCTCAGGTCCAGTTATTAAAATATCATCCATATAGTGTATAATATATAAATTGCTATATTTTTTGTAAATTTTTGAAGAGCAGCATCAATGAGTTGTTGGCACAAAGTAGGGCTATTAGCCATTTTTTGAGGTAAGAGCCTCCATTGGCATCTTTGCATAGGTTCTTTAAAATTTACTGATGGAACACTGAAAGCAAATTGGGGACAATCTTCTGGATGTAAAGGTATAGTATAAAAATAATCTTTTAAATCTATTATTGCAATATAAGAGTCCTTTGGAAATGCAGGAGGCAATGGTAAACCTGGTTGTAAAGCCCCATAATTTTCACAGTAGCATTAACAGCCCTCAGCCTTGAAGCAATCGCTATGTCCCAGATTTCTTTCTGATAACAAAAATAGGACTATTCCAAGGAGAATTAGAAGGAACTATATGTCCTGCTGTTAATTGTTCTTCCACCAATATCTGTGCAGCATTTATCTTTTTCTGCAGTAAAGGCCACTGATCCACCCACACGGGATTATCTGATTTTTATTTTATTTTATTTTTTGCATGGAGCACAGGCTGACCAGTAGCCATCAAGGGAAACCCAAGCCTCTCTGGTCATGATTGACAGTTACAGTAACTGGAGATGTGATGCTTTGTTGTTGTTTGCCTAAACCCTTACCTGGCAAATGACCTTGTTGAAGTATGTTAATGGTAGCAATCTTACTTGGACTATGTATTAAAGCCCCCATTTGAGTTAGAATATCACGTCTCCAGAGATTAACAAGTAATGCAGCCAAAATATAGGGGTGACAGGTTCCAGCATTACCTGCTTCATCCTCCCATTGCAGCAATTTGGAACTTTGTGTTAATCTTTGACTCCGACCAATACCTTGCAATTGAGTTATGGTAATTTTCTTTTTTCAATTTGTGGACCAGCTCGCTGCTGAAATAACAGAGACATGAGCTCCAGTATCTAAAAGACCACTGAATAACTTTTTATTTAATTTTAAGAAAAATTTGGGTTGGTCCTTAGTTATGGGTTGTATCCAATAAGCATCAGAAGATCCAAAACCATTATTTTCTCTTTTATTTAAAAAAGACTTACCAATTGAAGAGAAGGGGAACAGAATCAAGTGAGCAATGCATTGTCCTGGAGTTAAAGTTACATTATTGGCTTGAGTCATAATTTTTATCTCACCAGTAAAGTCAGTGTTTATAACTCCAGGAAAAACCTGTAACCCTTTCATAGTTATACTACTTCTGCCCAGTAGGAGACCAAAAAACCTAGTTGGCAAAGGACCAAAAATCCCAGTAGGGAGGCCTTGTGGGCCCATCTCAGGGGTCAATACTGTATAGGAGGTGGCACTGAGGTCCAGTCCTGCACTACCCTCTGTGGCTCTGTGGAGGAAATTGACAGATTTAGGGTGTTCTGTTGAGGAACAAATGTCATGGCCCCCAAAATTTGTTGGGATGGGGCCTGGGGCCAGCCCTGCTTTTAGTTTTCTGAACTTTATTTATTTAAGGAATTATCTTTTTTTTTTTTTATCAGTTTTGGAGTGACATTTATTGGCCCAATGCCTTTTCCTTTAGCACCAGGGGCAAATCCCAGGAGGAGGGGCTTTTTTGATGTTTGACTTTTGGACAATATTTGTACATGTCCCTGTTGCCCATATTGATAGCACCCTCACTTATCAGGCATAGTCCTTCTTGTTGATTTTTGTAATGACATACCGAGCAGAGTGGCAGGTTCTGAATGTTCTGTTTTTTAAATTAATTTAATTTGTTAATTTTTTATTAAAGGGACTGTCACAGAACACCTCAGCCACCATAGCCAATCGATCCATATATGTGTTGTAGTTATGTTTTGTAGAATTTACAGTACTATGGGCATTACTAGGCAATCTTCACACAGCACCAGAAAAGGATCCATACTGAGAATTAAACATCATTAGTAATCATCACGGGCATGTTTAACATTCAGCTTGACTGCATATTCCCCCAGGATGAAACAGCAGCAGCAGAGGCTTGCTCCGGCTACTCCTTAAATCCCTCAAGGACAAGGGTGGCTCATTGCCAAGATGTTAGGCAAGCAGTGCGTCCCATCCTGGATCTTGGCCAGAGAGCAGAGACATGAAGCATGCCCACCTGTTTATCAGAAAACCTTCCTTTATCCCCCGCCCCGGGAGCTGGCCAGGCTCCCAAGGAGCAGGAGAAGGTCATCCAGCAGACAAGTTACTTGTTGATCAGAGCCAAACCTAGATACAAGCCTCTCCATCCCAAAAATCTGTCCTTACATTTGGCCCTAGGGTTGCACCAAGGTATAGGCATAATTAATACATCATAAGAATATAATACAAATTTTTCATACAAGCATACATTTACCAATTACACACAATAATATTCAATGTGTTTTAAGGATAAATTGAAACATATCTGAGGGAACTAGCCTCTTATTATCTGTAATTATTACATTTTTGCAGGTTTGTGGAATCCTAACTACTTGTGGCATATTTTGACTTACATTTTTTTTCTTTTTGTAAAGCAAACCAAGCATAATCTGCTCAAGCATTCCTATCAATAATAGGGGTAGAGTTAGTACATAAAACAAAAACAGAATGGATAGTCCGGACACTTTGTCACCACAATTTCTCATTTCACATAGTAATATGAACTTTATAACAGAGAACATTTACTTCAAATGAAATATTTAAATGCAAGGTGAGGGCTGTCCAGTGTACACTGATCTATATTTTTTACTCCCAGTGTTTCTTATTCACAACACCCTCTTCAGCAAACCAAGGACTAATTTTTTAACAGCACTGATAAGCTGCTCTACAGTTTGTTTCTTTAACCCTATTTTCTACATCTGTAACAAAGTTTTCACAGCCTTTGTCACGGCTTGCTTTGTTTTTTTAAATGCACATTTAAGTTTTTTCTGAGTAAATCCCAATGTTGCTTATTCACGACTCCTTTTTCGAACCAAGGACTGACTATTTTTATAGCATTAATGAACCGACCGTTCTATGGCTCACCTTGTTTAACCCTATTCCCTGTATCTGTAATGGAGTCTTTATAGCTTTTTTTTTTTTTTCCTAGGGGCTGATTTAGGGAGAGTCAATGGATGATACCACAGTGGCGGTTCATCCTCTAAGGACAAATTTGCTAGCCTAGTCAAACTGGGATATAAATGAGATGGCCCCCTCGAGCGCAGGGGTGCACTCAATGGGGGATGGTCCTTCATTGAATTTTCCTCTGTCTCATCCAGTGGCTCGTCCCTACAGGGACCTTTGTCCATCTGTTTCCTGTCCAACTGACTACCACAGTCACTAGATTGACTATCATGCCGAGACTCCTCCTGAACCTTCTCTAGGAGCTCACATCCTTCATCAAGTAAAAGCCCTATGCTCTCAGTGGGGTTCTGAAGTGTCTGGTCAGTGAGTTGCCATAATCTAAGTATTTCTACCGGCTCTCCGGCTGCTCTCAACTGTCTCCCTACTCTCTGCCACTGTTGCTCATCTAATTGGCCACCTTCCACAAACCATGGTGACGTCTTGGCAACGGCCCTAGTGAATGTGCATACTGTAGCCGCCTTAATGGGCGTCCCCACAGCTTTTAACAAGCAGCTCAACAGCATGCGCAACCTAGTGGTGGACGGAGTATTGTCCATTTGGAGGTAAAAAGGAAGTTTCTGAGTATTGTCCATTTGGAGGTAAAAAGGAAGTTTCCGCCTATTTCCTGGCATTTCTGAACACTTTGTACTCCCGCCTTTTAAGGGATTCCTTTACCCTTTTTTCTGGCGCTTAGTTTCCCCGTCTTTCTTCGACGGAACCGCGGTTTCTATTCTTTCCCCAGCTGGATTTCCATGCACACGCACGCTTACCTTTTGTTCCTTACCTATTCCTGTGTGTAGAAAGTGGTCTGGATCCGAGTCACGGCACCACTTGCCGCTCCCTTGCCCGCAAAGGAACGACACTGTTTGCAGCTTATCGGTCTTCAGTAGATTTTTAATGGGAAAATAACAGTGACAGAGAAAGAATGAAAGGAGGAGAGTGGACAGGAAAGCCCCCTCCTTCCTCAGCACATAGCTTATATACAAAATCTGGCCAATTGCAAGCAGGCTCAAGTCCATACACGGAACACTCCAATCCGCTGTCTGTTCACGCAGTGTGCACGCGTCCTCGGGCCAATCAGATGAGGTGTCACGCAGCAGGCAGGCTCACCGCACGGTCCTCAGGCGCCATCTTGTTGTTTACAACATTCTCAACTCCTCTGGAAAGTCCCGACCATGGGAAAGCATTGCCCTAACCGAAACTAGCAACATCCGCCATGTGATAAAGACACAGCAACAGCTATCAGACCGACCTTGACGTGGGGGCTCCATGGCTGTGCATCCCATGGAGCCCCACAGCTAAGATCAAGTGTAGAGAGAAGAGAGAGATATTTTCCATCTGCTGGTTTACTCCCCAGTAGCCACAACAGCCAGGAGCCTGGCACACCATCCTGGTGTACCACATGAGTGACAGAGGTGCAGGTATTTTTTCAAGTGCTTTCCAGGTGCATTGGAAAGGAACTGGATTGGGGTTCTTGTTGTGGCCCAGCAAGTTGAGCCACCGCCTGCAAAATAGGTGTGCCACATGGGAGCCAGTTTAAGTCCTGGCTGCCCCACTTCTGATCCAGAGCCTACTAATGGGGTGGGGACCAGTAGAGGGATGGGCCCCGTGCTTGGGTCCTTGGACCCATGTCAGAGACCTGGGAGATTCCCCTGGCTTCAGACTTCAACTTGGCCAGCCCTGGCCATTGCAGCCATTTGAGGAGTGAACCAGAGGATGAAAATCTCTCTCTCTCTCTCTCTCTCTCTCTCTCTCTCTATCTCTCTCTATCTCTCTCTATCTCTCTCTCTCTGTTTCTCCTTCCCTTCCCTTTTCCTTTGAGTGACAGATTCCTAGTACTTGAGCCACCACCTGCTGCCTCCCAGAATATACCAGCAGAAACCTGGATCTGAAATAAAGTACCCAGAACTCAAAGCAGTGCTCTGATAGTAGTTCTCATATGGGCACTCCAATATGAGATGTGGGCATCCTAAACAGTGATGTTAACCCAATGCATCACAATGTGCATCCCAAACAACCTTATTTTTAAGTTCATAAGATAATAGAAAGCTTTTATCATTCAGACAAGACCAAAACAAAAGATGCATGTGATAATCTGGCTGTAACATTATTCTGTTCAAGGTTAAAGAATAAAAAGAACAATTGCAATTTTAAGTCCAAAACTGGACAAACGTTTGTAAAATGTACAACAGCTAAAGAAGAGTACCTCCATGTTTCTCATATAGTAAGCTCTACAGGGTAAAAACAAAATTCAGCAAAAACTATGAACAGTATATTCCCAAGCTGACAAGGCACAAAACATTTTAAAAATTAGAAACTGAATGAAAACTGGATATGATCTTAATGCAACAAAGTGAGAAAAATTGAGAACACAACAGAACCCCTTTGTGAGATTATCTTTCAAACCTCCTCCTTAAAATCATTTGGACCAAGCAGATGTTGGTTCACTAGAGAAGTATTGTTGACAGGAACAGAAGGGAGATAGATCCTGGCAGAGATCAGACGGTCGGTCCAAAAGTTCAAAGGCAGCCTTTGTTTTCAAGACTGGAAAGAGCGACAGTGTGGGCCAACAATATCTGAGCTGATTAGAGGGATGGGAGTAACCCACACCATACATCAGAAGTTAAATGGGAGGAGTGAGGTCACCTCTTAGTTTCAAGACAGAATACGTGTATGTAATCAGCCTTCAGGTTACATAACTTAGACCGCCTTATTGGAACTATGCGCTTGGGAAAATGCTTCATGTTAGAACAGATTTATTGCAAACAAGTAGAATCTCATTTCACAAGCAGTTTCCCATACTTTAAAAGATCAAAAAATAAATTAAAAGAAAAAAAATCTTCAACACTTGCTAGAAATGAAGAACAAGCAGCGTTACCTGAAAGTTGTACACTAAATACACTAAAATGTGTTTATAAAATTCTTTTATTCAGAGAATTTTCATCCCCACCACACTGATTAATTAGGTGAATTCCTAGGAATGAGATGCCTAACAAATGGATCATATTTAAGTGCATCAGATTCTTTGTGGTCCTTTTGATTAAAGTCTTAGAACCATAGAACTCAGCAATTAAATAATTGAGCATGTACATAGATCTAATACATTTGTTGAAAGAATTCAGCATGATTTTCAAAAAGCCATTTGACTACAATGTCATAAATGTGTTTTATATTTGGGTATGTACTTGGAAAAATTCTTGAATTCAGAATTACTTTAATAGAATTTTAATTTATATGATTGTGTCCTTCACAAGAGGTTTTAATTTTGCCATTTTACACATTTATCTTTCTTGCATGTGTCTACTATCCCATACTACCAAAAATAACTTTATTTTTAACTTATTTTTAAAAATAAATTTATTTGTTTGAAACGCCGTTTGACTTATGGAGTGACTGTCCATCCTCTGATTCACTCCCTAAATGGCTTCACTGGTCCAGTTCATTACTGAAGCCAGGATCCTGGAGCTCCATCCGGGGCTCCCACGTGCATGGCAAGGTTCAAGAACTTGGGCCATCTTCCACTGCTTTCGAAGGGAACATTAGCAGGGAGCTAAATTGGAAGCAGAGGAGCCAGGACTTTGAACCGGCACTCACATGGGATGCCAGTGTCGGAGGCAGCAACTTAACTCTCTATGCCACGGCAGCCCCTACCATGCGGTTTGAAAAATGGCAGTGGGTCTTAGACTAATCATGTTTGTGGCCTAAAATTTTACACAAGAGTTTATGACTATGTACTCATAAATGTTTGTATTTTGATGGCAGTGTCTTGGGAGAAAGGGATTATATTCACATAGCCTTCCTCTTAGTTTATATTTCTTTCTTAAATTGTACTTATTCTTAAATTTGTCAAACATTGAACCATATTTTGGGAAGAGAAAAGATGTATGTTATTAATATAAAATATCATAGATTTTATTGCATGTACGTACACTGATTAACTTTGGTTGCATTCAACTGTACAAATTAAAGCTGGGGCTACCAGGAGCTTGTAACCAATGAGAACAAACCGTGTGATTGATCTAAAAGGTAATCCATGCCACTGGAATAATCTAAATTATTATTCTTCAGTTCCCAATTACTTTTCCTTGAATCTAAAAAAGAAACTAACTCTGTGTGAAGTTACATTGTAAAAATGTTTAACAACTATTGAGACACAGCCGTATTCAGTGCATAAGAAAGCTTGAGATTCTGTGTCACAACAGTGTTTTAAATCTTTCAGTTACTGAAGTGGGGGGATGGGAGTGGTACCTGTTTAACAAAGGGTACAAAGACTCAATTTGGCAAGAACACTAAATGTTCTTGGGAGAAACCTGGGCAGTTGGTAGTGAATGAAGGAACAAGGACATAAGCCTCAGCTATTCTAGCTCCTTGACCAAAAGAAGATAAAATCAGAATGTACCCTTACTCCTGCCTCCTTTGAAATCCAGAATTTACCCCTTTTACCTACATTCTTTCAAAGACACCTATTTAGGGGGCCTTGCTGTGGCATTGTGGGTAAAGCCGCCACCTGCAGTGCTGGCATTCCATGTGGTGGCCTGCCCCACTTCCCAACCAGCTCTCTGCTATGGTGTGCGAAGTGGAAGATGACCCAAGTCCTTGGGCCCCTACACCAGTGTGGGAGACCCAGAAGAAAGAAGCTCCAGGTTCCTGGCTTCAGCTCACACATTTCTCTCTCTCCCTCTCCCCCCACCCTCTCTGTACACCCCCCTTTCTCTGCTCCTTTGTAACTCTGCCTTTCAAGTATATAAATAAATTTTTAAGAAAGAGAGAGAAACCTATTCAGATTCTTACCCTGTGTTGTTCCCCATCTCATCTCCTGCACTTTTTGAAAGCCTGGTGCCAAACCTATATAGAGAAACTCACTTTTGTGTCTCACCCCTCACCTCCCCTGGGGACCCCTAGCCTGCCTAAGGATATAAAAAGTCCACCTGCTGAGATCTGGGCCCTCTGCCATGTGTTCAGTCTGTGTGCACACGGGCAGTTGGTCACCTACTTCTGCAAGTTTATTTATTTTCTTAGAATAAATTCAGTTTGGCTGTGAGTTCCTGACTTGTCTCATCTCTCAGATGCACCCTTTCCCTTACAGTGAATTGTGAGATTTAAATGAGTCAAAATAGCAAAACTATTGGTTCTTTATTAATAGCATATTATAGAGGCAAATTAAATCTCACTTCTCTCCCCATTTCGAATTTTTACAATTAAGGGCTGTTACTTTAAGAAAGGATAAAACTTAAAAAAAAAAAAATGCATGAGCCCCTCCTTTTCCTCTCAAATATTGGAGCTATTTCCACCCACTTCATTAGTGAGAAGATTAAAGGATTCTTTTGTGTATCTAATATACTGTATGTACTGTCCTAGGAAATACAGATTGAAAAGCAATGAACTCTTCCCTTTTCATTTACATTTTCTTTACTCTTGCTCCAAGCCAGTATCCCCTTTTTCTTCTCATAACGATAAATGTACCTGTAACATTCTTTTGGCTTTTTTTTAGAAATGTGGCCTTTTTTAATGAATATTTATTTGAAAGGCAGAGTTATAGAGAGGCAGAGGCAGAGAGGGAGAGGACTTCCATCTGCTGGTTCAGTCCCCAAATGGCTGCAATGACCAGAGCTGGGCCAATCCAAAGCCAGGAGCCCTGCAGCAGCTTCTTCCAGGTCTCCCACATGGGTGCAGGGGCCCAAGGACTTGGGTCACCCTTCACTGCTTTCCCAGGCCATGGCAGAGAGCTGGCTTGGAAGTGGAGTAGCCGGGACTTGAACTGGTATCCATACGGGATGCCGGGGCTGCAGACCAGGGCTTTAACCTTTAATCTGCTTTTGTATGTCAGTTTATTTTCCAACTCAAATCCTGAACAGATTCTCAATGAGGCACTTATTTTAAATAGGATCAAATAATGGCATTTTCTGTTTGCTTTTGTGCTAGTACTAAAATTTATTAGTCGAATAGGATACAAATTAGATTGTTATGCCTTTGTTCCAACTGAATGCAGATAATCGTTATTCCCAGAGTTGCTAGTACTGACCCATCATTATCTTCATTGGATAAACCATATTTGGTTATATGGAAGCTTTTAAAATTTGTAGTTTTTTAACCCATTTGGCATCATTCTTACTCATTGTTGTGGTCTTTTTGTATTTATAATACAAGTGCGTGTTCTTTGCATTCTGCAGTCGTTATTCCCACATTAAAAAAAAAAAAAGTGCCTTTAAGTCCTAAACAGTCTGTGAGGGGTGAGGGGCTGCTTCATTTTGATAAACATATGTACGACATAGTTCCCAAACTGATTTAAAAAATTTTGGGTGGGGTAGTGGTAGGTATTCCCTTAATTCATTTGATAAACCTTCATCTTTTGACCTTAAAGTTTGATGAGCTAAAATGTAAAGGATAATAACTTAATGTCCCTAATATTTAGCTATGGATGGATATTTAATTTACATTTGCAAAATATTATTTCCCAAAACACTAGTTATGTGACAGTGAAAAAGAGAATAAATTCAACAGCATACCACTTT